GTGTGTGTGTGTGTGTGTGTGTGTATGTGCTAGGAATGTGGCTTAGTGGTAAAATGCTTGCCTAGTATGCATGAAGCCCTGGGTTCAGTTCCTCAGTACCATATATGCAGAAAAAGCTGGAAGTGGCGCTGTGGCTCAAGTGGTAGAGTGGAAGGTCATGGACTGGAAAAAATGTTCCCAAATGTGTGTGTGTGTGTGTGTGTGTGTGTGTGTGCTGGTATGAGGGATTGAACTCAGGGACTGGCTGCTATCCTTTTTTTTTTTTTTTTCTGGCTGCTATCCTTTAGGTCAAGGCTGGTGCTGATTTGATTCACAGCTCCACTTTTGGCTTTTTCATGGTTAATTAGAGAGAAAGGTTTCACGTACTTTCCTGCTTAAGCTGGCTTTGAACTGCAATCAGTAGATGTGCTGGAATGATTCACACACCAGCCCTCCATGGGCCAATTTAGGATTATGGATTTTATTCAATGTGTAGTAGGAAGCCATTGGATGGTTTTATATGGGGGTAGTGACAAGGTCTTAGTTTTTTAATTAAAAAATTTAAAGTCAATTTTCTTTTTTTCTTTACAATCTTCTTATTAATAAGTTTTTTATTGGGAAAATATCATAGAGGGGTGACAATTACATGAGCAAGGTAATGAGTGCATTTCTTATCAAGCATTGTTGCCTCCTCTTTTATTTCCCTTACCATCCCTGCCCTCTATTCCCCCATCCCCAGCCAGTGTTGTAAAGTTCTTTTTTCTACATAACATCTTGTACATCCCATTGTTACAATGGTTCCACCTGTATCCCTATTTAAACAATTTGTTTTTTCCCTTCCCCTCCACAAATTATAAAAATCTGAAAAGCTTCACTAATTTGCATGTTATCCTTGCACAGGGGCCATGCTAATCTTCTCTGTATAGTTCCAATTTTAGTATATGTGCTGCCGAAGCGAACACAAGACATTTATTTTAGGGCCAGTTGTGGGGCCTGAACTCTGGGCCTGGGCGCTGTCCCTCAGCTCTTCAGCTCAAGGCGAGCGCTTTACCACTTGAGCCACAGCGCCACTTCCAGCTTTTTTTTTCCTGCTTATGTGGTGCTGAGGAATCAAACCCAGGGCCTCAGGCATGCAAGGCAAGTGCTCTACCACTGAGCCACCTTCCCAGCCCTAAGACATTTATTTTTTACGTCCAGTCTCGCCAGGTGCTAGTGGTTCATGCCTGTAATCCTAGCTATTCAGGAGGATCACAGGAAAGTCCATGAGACTCTTATCTCCAATTAAGCAGAAAAAAAAGCCAGAAGTGGAGCTGAGGCTCAAGTGGAGTAGTGCTTGCCTTGAGCAAAAAGAGTTCAAGCCCCAGGAATGGCAAAATAAATGAATAAGTAAATAAATGTACAGTTTTGACAAATGTATATATGTAACTATCACACAATAAAAATACATAATATTCTTATCACCTTCCCAAAAGTTACCCCTGGCTGGAGGATGGAGCTTAATTGTAAAGTGCTTGCCTAGCATGAAGATGCCCTGGGTTTGAAAAATCATCAGGGGCTGAGAAGGTGGCTCAGTGGTAGAGTGCTTGCCTTGAATGCATGAGGCCCTGGGTTCAATTCCTCAGCACCATATAAGCATAAAAAGCTGGAAGTGGTGCTGTGGCTCAAGTGGTAGAGCGCTAGCCTTGAGCTGAAGCGCTGAAGGACAGCGCCCAGGCCCACGGTTCAGACCCCATGGCCAACAAAAAAAAAAAGAAAAGAAATGAAAAGAAAAAAATCATCAGGAAAATCTTCTTTAAAGCTGATTTTCCAGTCACTACTTTGATTTGCAGACCCAGGTGAGAATTTCTGGGGACAATTCCACCTTCTTAATGGGTACCATCTTGTGTTAATTTCTGTTACCATCCTGCATGGCCACGGTCCATTTGTCAAAACTAAGCAAGAGACAGGAGCACAAGCATTATCAATCAAACTATAAGCTCTATCAGCACTCCTGGTTCCTTCAATAATACCTTTTTTTCTGTTGCAGAATACCATGCAGGTCCACACCCAGGACTGCATTTTGTGATCACATGTCCTTAGAGTTTCCCAACTGGTAAGAATTGCTCAATATTTATATCTTTTTTTTTTTGCCACCTTCGCAGTTTTGATGATTGCGGATCAGGTATTCTGTAGACTGTCCATCAATCTGGGTTTATCCGGTGCTTTCTCATGATTAAATAGGGACTAGGGTGTGAGCAGGAACATCAAGCCAAGAGCATCGCAGAGCTTGAAGGCTGTTCTCAGAGTGGAATCAGGGAGCACATGGTGTGAACTTGACTCATCACAGGATTTGATTAAATGGTAAAAATGGTGTCTATCAATTATTCACCTCTAAAAAGGTAGTATTTTTTCCTTTTCTGTATTTTACTCTTTGGGCACAAGTCATGAAGTCCAACTGGGCAAGAATAGGGACTTGTAGGAGAAGCTCTGATAACCAGAACCCACTGGGAGCATGGACAAGTTTATTATCAATAACCCCAAGAGACGGAAGGGCAGAGACCCCTACCCCCTCTCCTGGCCGCTTTGGTCTCTTTGATGCTGATGGGTCCCTGAGGTAGAAGATGGGTGCACCCAACATTAACTTCAGTGTTATTTCCTATCAATTCCATGGTGTGGGGGAGGGGGGCGTGTGTGGGTGTGTGCGTACTTGCATACACACAAGCACCTGTTAGGAGAATCTGGGGTTGATATTATCTTTCTGACTGGAAGGTGATTGGTTTTCATATGTGACAAGCTGGTAAGTGACTCCAAACATAGATACTTTATATCCTCATTTCTCACATGTGTGAAATCACCCTTACTCCATGGCCCACAGCAAGCACATTGCAGAGTTACCAGGTATTCTAGGAAGAAGTCAGGTAATCGAAGATGAGAGGCTGGGATGCCCAGGAGTGCTGCTCTAGAGAGGAAGCCAGCATTAAATATCCACCCAGAGCCAAGCTCTGAGAGACCCTCTCTATTCCAGTGGTCTCCTGGTCCTTGGCCTTTGATGAGTTTGGAGAAAATAGCTGGGCATATTGGTGCATACCTATAATCTTAACAATCAAAAGGCCGAGGAAGGTTGGGGAGTTAAAAGTCAACCTGGGCTACCCTAGGAAGACTCTGTTTCAAAAAAAAGTTTGGGGAACTCCAAATGGTTCTTGACAAGCCTCTGAGGTACAGGGGATAAGAAGAGGCTGTGGATCTAGATTCCTGAAATCATCCAGACAGCCTCCATGTTCATGCTGTTATTTTTTTTTTATAAATTTATTACTAGAAAAGACAAGGTTGAAAAAAACAGCAAACACTCTAGTGCATAAAGGCACAAATCCTCCTCCTGCTGGCCTACTATGGAAATCATGGGACTTCAGTGGTTCTTCTCCAGCCCCAGCACTTCCTGCCACCAGCCAGGCCTGAGTCTTAAAGTGCCCAGGCCTGTTTCTGACACCCGTACACCCTCTAGTGGGTCTTCTTGGTAAACTCAAGGTGAGAACAGGAAAATGAATGACAGGCAGGAGGTCTGGCCTAGGGTCCCCTTCCCTTTATCCCACAAATAAAATCTAAAATGTTGAACAAAGATAGTGCCTGGAGGTAGTAACAACAGGTATTTTTGGCAGCCTTTTAAAAAATGCCTTTCAATGCTTTAAACACTTTCCTTAGTTCATCTGACCTACTTCTCTGTAGAAAGTGACTGTAGAAAGTGACTCTCTGTTCCAGATAAGAACACCAGGATTCCAGAAGTAGAAGGTTATATGTGCAGTTGTTAGGTGCTCAGGTCTTGGAGCTCTGCCCTTCTAGTTTTGCCTCTTACCAGCTGTGGGACTTTGGGCTTATATTTCTTTCTTTTTTTGGGGGGGGGGTCCAGTCATGGGGCCTGAACTCTGGGCCTGGGTGTTGTCCCTTAGTTCTTCAGCTCAAGGCTAGCGCTCTACCACTTGAGCCACGGCGCCACTTCTGGCTTTTTTCTTTTTGCTTATGTGGTGCTGAGGAATCGAACCCAGGGCCTCATGCATGCAAAGCAAATGCTCTATCACTGAGCCACCTTCCCAGCCCTGGGCTTATATTTCTAAGACTCACTTTCCCCTCTTGTACAATCCCTGACAGTTGTGAGGATGGCTGGCATGGAGAAGGTACTCAGGCCCTCTGGGTGTTAGGATTAAACAATAGGCCCAAGTCTTGGCTAGTTACTGCAGAGGTGAAATGGGAGGCAGGCACACACTATCAAGGCTCTATATGGTTTCAGCATCTCCCCACAGCTCCCACTCACTCTCCCTTTTAAGTTCAGGGTCCTCAGAAGCCCCAGCATTCACTCACTTACATGGGGATGACCCACTAACAAGCTTGAAAAAAATACAATTACCAAATACAACTATTAATATCAGTATTATTTTTGTGCCGATCTTGGGGCTTGAACTCAGAACCTGTGTGCTGTCCTGGAACTTTTATGCCTAAAGCTAGCTCTCTATCACTTGAGCTACAGCCCCAGTTCCAGCTTTTTGGTGATTAATTGGACATAAGCGTGTCAAGAACTTTTCCTGCCCGGGCTGGCTTCTAACTTCGATCCCAAGAGCTCAGCCTACTGAGTAGTTAGGATTGCAGCACCATCAGCATCCGGTCCGCCTGGACTATTTAAACATGAGATTTGATCAGGTTGGTTTTCCTTTTCTTTTGAGGGGACTGGAATATGTAATACCTTGGTATATCCGCTAAAGCAAGGGACAAAGCAGGTACCCCAAAACAGTTCTTGAATAGATGACCCTTTGGAGGGGGGCAGTGATATGTGGAGCTTGCAGGTGTGCAGCCTGGTAGGCATGTTTAGGTGAGCACCAGTGCAGACACAGCAGCCATAACACCTGGCAGCTGAATTCACACGCACGAAATTCACCGCAGCAAAAGACCCGCCTCGCGTACGTGCAGTGACGTCATCGCGCGAAACTAGGCGGAGCCCCGCGCAGTCGCAGAAGAGTGAGCGGGTCTGCGCAGTCGCAGGAGGAGTAGGCGGCTCCTGGGGACGAGATCAAGTCGATGGTTTCGCGCTGCCCGAGGCCGCTAGGGCGAGGCGGGCCTCGTCCCGGTGAACCTCACCGGGGAGGATAAGGCCGGCCCCGCCGCCATCATGCTGCTGCCCGTGTTCACCCTGAAACTGCGCCACAAAATCAGCCCCCGCATGGTGGCCATAGGGCGTTACGACGGGACTCACCCGTGCTTGGCGGCCGCCACCCAAGCGGGCAAGGTAACCGCTCGGAGCCGGGCCCGGGGCTTCACGACTCCGAGGGCCGCGCGCCGGGACCCCGCCCTTCTCCGCTGCCCCGCCCCTGTCCCAGGTTGCCTGGCAACCGGTCCGCAGTCTCCGGGACGTACCCATCCTAGAACTTGGGGTCTCCCAGGAGCAGCTTTTCTGAGCAATTCGGTTTCTCAAAGCCAAGAGTCCTCGACTCGGGCAGTGTTGGGAGTCCTTGGTCCCGTAAGGAGCTTAAGGAACGAGACACATCCGAAGGGAAGAGGCTTGGCCAGGATTAGCAGTAATAACCCATCCCACATTTCCAGCCCTGAGCCTCTTCTTGGAGCTATTTACATTTTCACAGTCTCCCTATGGGGTACTACAAGCACCCCTGAAGTAAGTTCAGATTGCATTTTGGGTGCTTCACCATGCACGTTCACAGTTTGTTCACGAAAGTATCCATTAGGTACTTCCTATGTGCCAAGTACTAAGCCAGATGAGAATCTCAAAGATTAAAAAAAAAAAAAAAAGATAGAGCCATCCAATATTCACACTTCCAGTGAACTTCTCCTTTATGCAGAGATAAAGTTGGGGTCTCTATTTTCAGAAAGTTGTAGTCAAGAAGGCCCATAGACAAGGCAGATGAGGGCCCTGTTTATGGATGTTGGCATCCCCCAAATACATGGACTACAATGAGATCAGGAGCATAACTTCCATCAGAACTGAGGCTCAGGTAGTTGAGCATTTGCTTAGAATCCTTAGGTTCAATCCCCAGCAATGAGAAAAAAGGGAGGAGGGGTATAATTTCTAACAAAACATTATCTCAGCATCTTTGTTACAGGCAAAGGGTAGTAGCTTAGCATAGGTGTGGATTCTGTCTGTTACACTAATTTCAGGACCTCTGGCAAAGTACTTAATAGGACCCAACATAGAACACATGGGGATTAAATGTTAATACCTGTAAAGTAGTTGACATTTGGGAATAGTTGCTAATCTTTTTTTTTTTTTTTTGTCGGTCGTGGGGCTTGAACTCTGGGCCTGGGCGCTGTCCCTCAGTTTTTCGCTCAAGGCGAGTGCTCTACCACTTAAGCTACAGCGCCACTTCCGGTTTTCTGGTGGTTTATTGGAGATAGAGTCTCACAGTCTCTCCTGCCCTGGCTGGCTTTGAACCGTGATCCTCAGATCTCAGCCTCCTGAGTAGCTAGGATTACAGGCGTGAGCCACCAGCGCCCAGCTAGTTACTAATCTTTAGGTGTTATTTTCTTTTCTGAACTCCCACTTTATTGATTAGGAAATCAGTGTCTTAGGCCACTCAGAATGTAGGAGAAATGAAATGTGTTCTCTGTCCCAATGTAAATTTCACTGTATAATGACACATTTTTGAGACATTCCATGGATACTGTACTTCATAGTGCATGCCTTGGGATCCATGGCTAAAATGTTCCTTCTCATGTGTTGTATTGAGTAAAGCCCTGAGTACAGAGTCTTGATACGTGATGTTACTCTGAGGAGGGCATTGACATTACTAAAAAGAAATTCCTCTTGATTCTGCTCTACATTCATGGGCCTGTTAGCCAGGCCATCTTCTTAGCTCTGTGGTGCCATGGGGATTGTGATAAATTTCACCCCTTTGGAGCTTACCCACTTTTTTGCGTGATAAATTTGAGAGGACATGGAAGACAGTTAACACATTTGTATTCTCTATCTCCTCTCTTTTCTCTGTATTTGTGTGTATGTATATATAAGTAGTTATGTTACAATATTTTCCCTCATCCTAGAACAGGGGGACTCACTTGAATTTATGCACTATCATCAGCATCCCTGAGCTAGAGAATAAATGCAAGGTGAACTACAGCCACTCCCTTGGAAAGACTAATTGGCCTAGGGAGTGGTCCATTTATCATGTGACTGAGCTTGACTTTTTTTTTTATTTCCTGAAGGCACAGGTAGGCATCTTTAGGGACTCGTACTTCTCTGTGCCAGGAACAGCTGACTTGGATGGTGGGGGGTGGGAAGTCTGACTCCTGGGATTCTTGTTTTCCTTTGCAAAAAGCACACTTGTTCCATTCCACTAACAGTAACCATTGGACCTATATATCAGTTCCATTCCTGTTCTCCTTCAGCACATCTTATTACCAGAAAGTTCTAAGAATTCTTTTTTTCTTTTGGTTATGGAGCTTGAACTCAGGGCGTGGGTGCGTCCCTGAGCCTTTTTGTGCTCAAGGCTAGTGCTCTTCCACTTGAGCCACAGCACCACTTCCAGTTTTTGAGTGATTAATTGAAAATAAGAGTCTCACCACAGGGATTTTTCTGCCCAGGCTGGCTTCAAACCTTTATCCTCAGATCTCAGCCTTCTGAGTAGCTAGGATTACAGGTGTGAGCCACTGGCACCCAACTGTAAGAGATCTTTTGTTCAGTGGGGCTGGGAAGTTGGCTCAGTGGTAGAGCGCTTACCTTGCATGCCTGAGGCCCTGGGTTTTGATTCCTCAGCACCACATAAGCAAAAAGAAAAAAGCCGGAAGTGGCGCTGTGGCTCAAGTGGTAGAGCGCTCGCCTTGAGCTGAAGAGCTGAGGGACAGCGCCCAGGCCCAGAGTTCAGGCCCCACAACTGGCCCCTCCCACCCCCACAAAAAAAAAAAAAAAAGAAATCTTTTGTTCAGAACTGTTGTAAAAGGAAGTGTGATGTAGTCTAGGACATACTAGGTTTCATGTTTGTTTTTATGCTCCTTCACTGACAGAGACCCTGAGACCTTGGGGAAAGGCCTTCACCTATCTGATTAGTGTGAGGATCAAGTGTAATTAATATTTATAAAAGCAAGCCAGGTGCTGGTAGCTCACATGTCTAATCCTAGCTATTCAGGATCTCGGTTCAAAGCCAGCCTGGACAGAAAAGTTCATGAGACTCTTCATCTCTAATTAATCACCAGAAAGCCAGAACTGGAGCTGTGGCTCAAAGTGGTAGAGCACCGGCTTTGTGTGAAATCAGGGATGGCATGTAGGCCTGAGTTCAAGCCCCAGGACATATTCTCTCTCTTTCTCTGTCTCTCTGCCTCTTTCTCTCTCTCTCACATACACATACACATGCGCGCGCGCGCGCACACACACACACGGTATGTTGTAAAGTACCTTACAAATGAGAACATGGCAACAGTATTCAGTAGCTGCACGCATTTTTTTACATGTTTCTGGTCATTTTTTAAAATTGATTTTTGTAAGTAGGCCACCTTGTGTAAGTAATAATTTAAAATCATTACTGTTTGGATTTATTTATTTTATTTTTTTATTTTTTTGGTCTGGTTGTGGGGCCTGAACTCTGGGCCTGGGCGCTGTCCCTCAGCTCTTCAGCTCAAAGCTAGCGCTCTACCACTTGAGCCACAGCGCCACTTCCGGCTTTTTTCTTTTTGCTTATGTGGTGCTGAGGAATCGAACCCAGGGCCTCATGCATGCAAGGCAAGCGCTTTACCACTGAGCCACCTTCCCAGCCCTACTGTTTGGATTTATGTGCATTTAAAATTAATAGATTTTGTCACTAGAATCTAGTGTTTTCCATCCTTTTTTTTTTTTGTCGGTCATGGGGCTTGAACTGTGGACCTGGGTGTTGTCTCTCACCTCTTCAGTGGGCGCTGTCCCTCACCTCTTCAGCTCATGACTAGTACTCAACCACTTGAGCATAGCACCACTTTAAGCTTTTTCTGTTTATGTGGTGCTTAGGAATTGAACCCAGGGCCTCATGCATGTGAGGCAAGCACTCTACCACTAAGCCACCTTCCCAGCTCCTTTTTAAAAATCATATTGTTCCTGTGGTGGTTTTGTTTTTGTTTTTTGTTTTGTTTTTGGTTGTGGGGCTTGAACTCTGGGCCTGGGTGCTGTCCCTGAGCTCTTCAGCTCAAGGCAAGTGCTCTACCACTTGAGCCACAGCGCCATGTCTAGTTTTCTGGTGGTTAATTGGAGATCAGAGCCTCATGGACTTTCCTGACCAGGCTGCTTTGAACTGCAATTGTCAGATCTCAGCTTCCTACCGGGCTTGGTGATTATTTTAACAATGAAAACTTCTCCAATTAAATTTTAATACCACAGATACACGATAGTGTGTGTGTGTGTGTGTGTGCGCGCGCGCACGCGCGCGTGTGTGTGTGTGTGTTTGTCTGTCTCTTTCTCTCTCTCTGATACAGGGTCTCAGTATATAGCCCAGGTTGGCCTTCAACTCATGATCTTTCTGCCTTAGCCTCCCTATTGTACCATGCCTGATGCTCCCCCATGGGTTGATAAGAAAAACATTTGTAAGAGTGCTTTGGCATACTGCTGCTGAACAGCACATAGGCTGCCCTAGCAGGCAACAACTTGATCTTTACTTTGTTCTTTAGGATTCTAAGTACCACTGGATTTCCTTAAAGGTGGCTACGTATGAAGCTAAGCATGAGTGCCTCAGGTTTCATAGATTAATGTGATTTCTTACTAATGTTGATATGTTAATTCTCTAGTTTTTAAAAAATGTTTGATGTTGGTTTGGCATTTTTATATTTGATATTTTTTTTGTTTTAGGTTTTTATTCATAACCCACATAACCGGAACCAGAATTTCAATACGTCCAGGGTCTTCCAGAGCCCCCTGGAGTCTGAGGTTTCTCTTCTTAACATTAATCAGGCTGTCAGTTGCCTAACTGCAGGAGTATTGAACCCTGAACTTGGATGTGATACACTTTTAGTGGGTACACAGACTAATCTTTTGGCTTATGATGTCTACAATAATTCAGATCTGTTCTACAGAGAGGCAAGTATACCCCCTAGTAATTGTACAATTATTGTTACCATTAATGTCGATTGGTTTTTGTGTATGTGTATGCTGATACTGGGGTTTAAACTCAGGGCCTTATGATCTTGTTAGGTTTAATTTTACCCATAGCTTGAACCCTGTCATGCCTCCAGTGAGGCATTTTGCCTCACTGTCTTGGCCTTTTCTGTCCAGAATGGCTGAATGATGATCCTCAGCTTCTTGAGTAGCTAGGATTACAGTTGTGAGCCACTGGCACCTGGATAGATATTTACTTTTTAGTACCTTTAAAATTAAAAAGAATAGCCGGGTGTCGGTGGCTCACACTTGTAATCCTACCTACTCAGGAGGCTGAGATCTGAGGATCATGGTTCAAAGCCAGCTCAGGCAGGAAAGTCTGTGAGACTCTTATCTCCAGTTAACCCCCAGAAAACTGGAAGTGGCACTGTGGCTCAAGTAGTAGAGGTCTCACCTTGAACTAAAGAGCTGAGGGACAGCGCCCAGGCCCAGAGTTCACGCCCCATGACTGGAAAAAAAAATTAAAAACAATAGTAGTCATAGGGTAATAGTATTGAAAAGATTTGTATCCAATTTGGTTAGACTAAATTTCACAGTTTTCATGTTTAAAAGCCTATGCATTGAGTCTCTGGAGAATTTGCCTTGTAGAACTTGGCAGTCCTGGAGAGCATGGATTATCACAGTAGCAGGTGTGAGAGCCAGGGCTTGCTCTGAGTTTACCCTGAATCTTCACTAATCCTTATAGAAACCATGGTGACAGGCATCAGTGACAGCCTGTCTGACCTCTTAAGGGAGACCCTGAGGCTTCTCGAAGTGATGACAGAGGAATTTGAGTATCCAGGTCAAGTAAAGATATGCATTGCTCCAGTGAGCCTGCAGAAAATTGTATCTGAGTCTTTCTTTTCTCCCTTTCTTAGGTTGCAGATGGGGCAAATGCCATTGTGCTGGGGTCATTGGGAGACATTGCCTCTCCTCTGGCAGTTATTGGTGGGAATTGTGCTCTGCAAGGTTTTGATTATGAAGGAAACGATCTCTTTTGGACGGTATGAAGGACTAAACATTCTTATTGATACTCAATAATTGTTTCAATATTCTTTAGATATTTTAAAATCACTGATTTCACTGATAATGAAAAAAACAATTTTTGTAGTTCTGTACATTAAAAAGGTATGAGTACTGTAACCCCTTTGTACAGTAATTTTATAATAAAAGCATATTAAAAAAAGGTATGAGTAATTTGGAATAACTCATTTGTGGCTTGTGTAATGTAGCTAAATTTTTTGTTTAATTGGGAAAGATGGGGCTGGGAAGGTGGCTCAGTGGTAGAGCACTTGCCTTGCATGCTCGAGGCCCTGGGTTCGATTCCTCAGCACCACATAAGAAAAAAGCCAGAAGTGGTGCTGTGGCTCAAGTGGTAGAGCGCTAGCCTTGAGCTGAAGAGCTGAGGGACAGTGCCCAGGCCCAGAGTTCAGGCCCCATGACTGGACCCCCCCCCCAAAATGAGAAAAGATAGCATAGTAATGACTTTTGATTTCATTTGCAGGTTACAGGAGACAATGTTCATTCCTTGGCCTTGTGTGACTTTGATGGTGATGGAAAGAAAGAGGTATGTGGGGAAGTAGATATAAAGGTACTGTGTTCAGCTGAGTGTTTCCCATAACAGCAGTAGTAGTGTTGAGAGAGCATTAGCTTTTATGGCTGATTTTGGAGCTCTGTTACCTAAATGAAAAACTGTATGGCCTTTGTGTGTATTCTGTCTCTGTCTCTTTGCCTATCTCTCACCCTCCTTTCTGTTTTTCTGGTTTTGAGATCAGATATTGCTAAGTAGCCCAGGCTGGCCTTGAACACCTAGTTCTCCTACCCCAGTCTCCTGAATGCTGGGGATCAGAGGAGATAACAATTGTGCCTTGCTCCTGTCACCTCTCTTTTGAACAGTACATTACTTGTGTTTGAGACAAAGATCAAAGCCCTGAAGGTTTTAAAGGAACAGGAGAGGGGAGAGAAGACAGAATGGTTGATGGGCTCTGAGTCATTTTCACCATCTTATAAATTGACTCTTGATGCTTTGAGACCATATTAGTAAGTAGTCAACTTTTTGGGAATCTAAGTACTAGAGATTGTCTCCTACCTTGAAATTAATGCTTACTCTAGAAATTTGCTTCTCAGGTAGTGTGTGAAGAACTGTGTTAGGCACTGACTTAGCCCTCTCTTGTCCATGGACACTAAGTTTTGGTGTCCACAAGAGGGCTTCTGTCTGTAGCCTGGGAAATTGCTGAACCGGGGCATACTTGCAGTATGCAATGAAATATGTGTTCTGTCATGTGCTCCCTGCATGGCATGGTGAGATCTGTATTGGCCACTTTAGCTTCACTGGCTGGATTGGTTGGGACCTCCCTGAGTATTGGATTATTAGAGTATTGGAATTGTTGGGTAGTAGTAGCAGCCCAGTGTTACCTGCTTGTTTTATTTATGGAAGTTTTGTTGTATTCACTGCTAAACTGAATGTATATGATTTCCCCCTTCAGCTTCTAGTTGGATCTGAAGATTTTGACATCCGAGTTTTTAAGGAAGATGAAATTGTGGCAGAAATGACAGAAACAGAGGTAGGAGGAATTACGGTAACCTTGGGCAGCACCATCAAGTGTAATATAAATGAGAGAATGGGCATCTTCTCACCACCTTGAGGGTTTTAGGATAAGACCCATGAGCTTTTACTTCTTCCTGCCACACTCACATTTATCATGATGTCCTAGATAGGATAGGATCTCACTAGGTATTCTAGCCTGGTCTGGTATTCAGCTTCCTTAATGCTGGGGTTATTATCATGTAAATTGTAACTGTGGATAGAGAAGAAATGAAGGAGAAAAATGAGTGCCCAAAGTAGCAGTATGAAGAGTGAAAGGTCGCAGAGGGGTTCTTGAATAAAGCATGTTTATATGTGTTTGTCTACAGAGAGGATCTTAGCTTTCATTAGATTATCTCTTAAATGTGAATTTATTATAAATGTAGTTGAAGCCAGGTAGTACTTGGGTTTAAATTCAGGGCTTGCATTTGCTAGGCAAACATGCTACCACTTTAACTACATCCTCAACCCTCATTACATTCTTTTTTCTTTTGGTTGGTCATGGGGCTTGAACTTAGTGCCTGGGCACTGTTCCTGACCTTTTTCACTTAAGGCTAGTGCTCTGCCACTTTGAGCCACAGCCCTACTTCTGGTTTGGTGGTAGTTAATTGGAGATAAGAATCTCAAAGACTTTCCTGCTTGGGCTAGCTTCAAACCTCAATCCTCAGTCTCAGCCTCTTCAGTAGCTAGGATTACAGGCACCTGGCCCTTATTACATTCTTAAAGAAGTTTACAAATCGAAGCCAGGCACTGGTGGCTCATGCCTGTAATCTTAGCTACTCAGGAGGCTGAGATCTGAGGATTCCAGTTTAGAGCTAGCCAGGGCAGGAAAGTCTGTGAACCACCAGAAAACTGGAAGTGGTGCTGTGGCTCAAGTGGTAGAATGCTAGCCTGGAGCTGAAGAGCTGAGGGACAGTGCCCAGGCCCAGAGTTAAAGCCCCATGACTGACCAAAAAAAAAAAAAGAAATTTATAAACCTCTCCAAAGTGGGAGAACTCGAACAATTAAACAGTCACTGGCCTGTAGGTTCTGTTTCTGCATTCATTTTAATTTGTGGTATATCTTTTCCCATTTTGTGGGAAATGATCAGATAATTCCTGGTTTTACCAGTATTACATAGGAGAAGACACAAGTTCTAAAAAAGGAGAGAGGAACATATCACAGGGCCAATAGTCAGAGAGACTTGTTGCTTTTCTGGTTCACAAAAGAAGGAAAAGAATGAACTAAGAAGCATTAATGAGCCTGGGGAATCTGGGACTAAATTTATGAAAGCATGGGCTTGTACAAAATTGTCCATTTGAGGTGCCAGGCAGTGGTGCGTGCTTGTGATCTCAGCTGAGACAGGAGGAGCATGAGCTCAAGGGCGGCCTAGGCTACACAGTGAGACTTGCCTGAAAAAAACTTAAAAAAAATTAATTTGTAGGGCCATTTTTCTGGTTTTTTTTGTATTGCTCTATTCAAATATCCACATCAGCAAAATTATGATTTGGCACTTGAGCAGTACCATATTACCAGAAGAATGCTTGAGCTAAATAATTCAGAATCCTTCATAGTGCTTTGTATTCAGAATTAAGTGAAGTGGGTGATTTTGTAGGGAACTTGTAGGTGTAAAGGAAATTACTTAACTATTCTCCTGTTTTGAACAGTTTATCTCTTATCTTTATGCAATTTCATTCTCATCTCTTGTAAGAGGGCCATAATTAGAAAATAGATCTACAGAATCACATCTATCATTTATCTTTTGCTTGAACTTTTAAGGATAATTTTGTTCACAATCTAAAATTTTATCTTTTTAACTGTGTTTAGTACTGTATTGGTTAAATCTATAGATTGGTCCATACTGTTCAGTTTATGTACAGTTCAATTTTGAAAGGATTGTACTATTGTTTTTTTTTAACCTCTAGCAAACAATAAAGTTTGCCACAGGGAAAAAGTATAGAAGTAAAAGTCAATTCCAGAAAACTAGAATTAAAAAAACCCAGTTTTTTAGCCCTCAGACTCAAACTCTAAGAGTTCTACATTAGGACTGGCCACTCATCCCCATATGCCAAAAAGAGACATGGTGAAGAGCAGAGAAAGGGGTTTTTAAAGACAGCACTTCAGTACCTCTTCATCTGTCTTCAATGTCAGAGACATTGGCCTCAGGTTTAAGAGGAAGAACTAGAGGCAGGGGTGAGAAAGAAATGCGTAGTCAAACAGTCCTAAGAACATAGGGGAAGCCTGGTGGACCATTAATTAGCTCAAGGTTTGTTCTTGGAGGGCTTCCACAGATGTTGTGATTGCTTTATCACTGGAATGGGTCAGTGACAAGTTCCCTGTCAGGCTGTGTGTTCTGTGAGATGATAAGAAAATGACCTTGCTTGTTTGATGGGCAGTGTGCCCTCAGTCACAAGATAATTATTGGTGAATCCTCTTATTCCTAGAGCCCAAGATGATTATAAAGTGACTGCCACAGGAAATAGCTGAGATCAGAGAGCACAGATGCAAAGTAGTGAGTTAATTCACAGGCTCAGCAAAATTATGTTTTCAGTTGGCTCTAACCTAATCACTAAATCTTTTTGGATTAATGTGTATAATAACACCTATTGTACATAGTCTCGATCTTGTGTACTTATCTTATTCCTCTCTTAGTTTAATTGTTTCTTTTAATTTTCTGAAACTTTATCTAAATTACAAAACTTTGTGGGTTTCTTTCAATTTGCTTATCCAATTCTGAAATAGATGACATGGATCACAGAGAAGAGAATGCATTCCTCACTCTTGGGTAAAAATATTTAGTTATTTTGGAAGTTATTTTAAACCTAATTTTAATACAGTTGTAGCAAGATGTGAAGCTTCACAAAGCTATACTTTACATTAAATTGAGCCTTAATGACAGTGTATTTTTGTGTGTTATTTGCAGATAATCACCTCTCTGTGCCCCATGTATGGCAGTCGATTTGGTTATGCCCTTTCCAATGGCACAGTTGGAGTTTATGACAAAACAGCTCGATACTGGAGAATTAAAGTTAGTAGAATTCAGCCTCTATATCCAGAAATTTTATACTTTCCACATTGAGATTATTTGGTACTAATTATTGGGATTCCTTTTCAGTCCAAAAATCATGCCATGAGCATTCATGCTTTTGACCTTAATTCTGATGGAGTGTGTGAACTGATAACTGGTTGGTCCAATGGGAAGGTAAGTATCATTAGCAGAATTCATGTGTAATTCACAGTAATCATGATAAATATAATTCACAGTGATCATGTGAATATAAACTTGAGTTCCTTGGCTGTGGTTTGAAATTTAACCTTTTAATTTTATTTCTTCCTACTACAGAGGGGAAGTGTCCTTTGGCTTTGTCCTCTGTTTGAGAGAAAATCTCCAGGGAGGTTATTTCTCTTTTTGAAGGAATGAGAATCTATTAATTGGGGTGATGGTAGGTGTGAGCCAGTAAAAAGAGGAATTTTAATAATTAATAATGAACCATCAGAATAGCTCTAAAAAAATCTTTAAAAACTAATTGAAACTCAGAATTAATGGGGAAAATCACGTTAGCATATTGTTTTCCCAGTTATAACACCAAAGTAAAATCCTTTTCTTTTTTCTTTTTCTTTTTTAATGTCAAATCAGAATTTCTTACAGCCTTCTGGCAAGTCAGACTGTCTTGTTAGAAACTGCTTAAGTAGCTGCCAGATCTCCATGGATACTATTTGCCCTAACTTTCTTGCCTGTCAGTATTGGTCTGTCTGGTGGGGAGGAGATCAGATATTTCCATTTTTTCGTCTTGCCTTTTCTCTTATCTTTCTCCTGTGGATTGCTTTGGTTATGTAAAGAACAAATTTTAAAAAGTTGTTAGGTGCCTAACATATGTCTCATGCTTGTAATCTTAGCTACTCAGAAGGCTAAAACTTGAAAGATCATGGTAGACTAGGTAGAAAAGCCCAATTAATCACCAAATTAATCACCAATTAATCACCAAAATTGCTGGATTGGAGGTATGGCTTAAGTGATAGGTTACCAACTGTGAGCAAGGGAGTTGAGAGCTCAAGGTCTTAAGTTTAAGTCCCAGTATCAACATAAACATCTATAAAGAGTATTTTCTATTATACAATCTGTTTCAGATTATAAAAAGATAAGAAAATTATATAATTCTTATGTAAGTAGAAAGCTGTCTACATTTAACAAAAATAGCATACACAATGAAATATACAAATTCATCTTGTGACTGTAGATCTAAAGGTACTAAATAAATGCTACTAGCCAGTTATCTTTGTCTTTAATAGGTCTGTTTTTGAGTTGGAGGGTCATCCCTTCCTTATGGACAAAACCTGCTCAATTAAGCAAAGGTGCAGAAAATGCACAGAACTAGTAATTTATAGTCCTTAGTAAATGAACTATTTTTGTTTATTAAATATTGTAGAACTGCAGTGTCAGAAGCTGTTTGAAAACTGTGCCTTCACTGGAAAGTAGCAAGTTCAGTTCAGCCCAAGTTAGAGGGTTGTATTAAAGCTCTCCTGCATAGGCTGTGGTAGTCATAATCTTCATGCTCACATGATGTTGCTATAGGTAATGTGGCTGGCTAAATGAGTGTAATGTATTCCATACAAGCAGTAGGCTGTGCCTAAAAAGCTCTTTATGAAAAGCCAAATATAATGAATGGCATTGCCACTGAACTGGTTGCTCCACCAGATTTCCTGCAACTAGCCTTTCCTTGCCCAGAACAAAATCATCAGAGGAGAGTGTCCTCATTCTTGCTTTTGACATGGATTTGCTAGTAATCAGTGGGTTTTTGTTTGTCCTGTCTTCAGGAGGCATTCTTGAAAACAGCTTTATTAAATGACTTTTTTTTTTTTTTGGCCAGTCTTAGAGCTTTAACTCAGGGTCTGGGCACTGTCCCTGAGCTGCTTTTCTCAAGGCTAGCACTCGACCATTAGAGCCGCAGCGCCACTTCCAGCTTTTTCTGTTTATGTGGTACTGAGGAATCAAACCCAGGGCTTCATGCAAGCACTCTACCACTAAGCCACATTCTCAGCCTGACTAAATGACTCTTATTAAAGCTGGTTTTTATCGTAAAATTTAGTGTTGCCTTTAATCTATAGCAAACGTGACTTTTTAAAATTAATTTACTTTGTGGTTATTATAGAGGTGATATACAGAGGGATTGCATTTACATGCAACCTGTGATTAGTACATTTCCTTTTAGACAGTGTCTTCTGTTTTCTCATTCCCTCCCTTCCATCTACACTCACGAGTTGTATAGTTCAATTTCATGAATGTCCAGTGCACTCCACTGCTGTACCATTTCACTCTTTTCCTCAGATTCTGTGCACTCCCCCACTCTTCTCAGATATGCCTGTGAATATACTGAGCATATGTGACTTTTAAGTTTGTGTTTTGTTTTTAGGTCGATGCTCGAAGTGACCGAACTGGGGATGTCATCTTTAAAGACAACTTCTCTTCTGCCATTGCTGGGGTGGTAGAGGGAGATTACCGGATGGATGGCCACATACAGTTAATCTGCTGCTCAGTGGATGGGGAAAGTAAATTGAGATGAGAAAAATCCTTGAAAAGTTAGATTTCAAAATGCCAGGAAATTCCACTGTAAAGTATTTTATTAAGATCCTTTAATCTGTTAAGTTCACCTAAAAGAATAAGAACCTAGGTTTTTGATTCTTAAGAACTAATAATTGGGGGCTGGGAAGGTGGCTCACTGGTAGAGTGCTTGCCTTGCATGCATGAGGCCCTGGATTCGATTCCTCAGCACACATAAGTAGAAAAAGCTGGAAGTGGCCTTGTGGCTGAAGTGGTAGAGCACTAGCCTTGAGCTGAAGAGCTGAGGAACAGTGCCCAGGGCCAGAGTTCAAGCCCCACAACTGACCAGAAAAGAAAAAAAAAAGAACAAGTAATTGATGTGGTCCTACTTGAATTATTTCTCAACCCAATGAGTGTTTTTTTTCCCCCTCTGCTCAGTCCGGGGTTATCTGCCAGGCACTGCTGAGATGAGAGGGAACCTCATGGATGCCAGTGTAGAGCAGGACCTGATCCGAGAGCTGAGTCAGAAAAAGCAAAATCTGTTGCTGGAGCTCCGCAATTATGAGGAAAATGCCAAGGTAGGGGAAATGGAATCTGATACACTGAATATATGGGAGCACCACCGTGTTGCTGCCAGCTAGCCTATGGACCACTCCTGACATCTATTCATGTGCAGATTGCTTCAGCCTTCTTTTCTTGCCAGTACTATAAACAAGAAGGTATGGAACCCCGGGGCCCACACCTGTAATCCCAGTATGTAGGAGGCTGAGGCAGGAGGATTTCATTACATAGTCTTATGTAGCACAACTGTCTCAAAGATTAAAAAATGTAAGCATTGGAATGTGGCTCAGTGATAGAATGTTTGTCTAGCATGCAGAAAGCCCAGACTTGATTCCCCAGCCCTGCACACAAAAATAAATATGAGAGAGAGTGGGGAGAGGGAGAGAGAGAACAAAAGAGTGTACAAACATGTATCTGTTGATCTAGAAATTCCACTTCCAGGCAGGTAAACTAGAAATATGCCTTGATATGAAAGACACACTTACTGTAGCCCTGTTTGTAACGACTTAAGAGTTCATTCTGTGTAGGGAGTATGTGCTGGGGACCATAAAACAGCTCAAGGCATGCAGCACATGGACTTGGATTATAAGGAAGAATATCTGTGGGAGTATGTAAAAAAAAAAAACAAGAACATTATGTTTAGAGTATTTCTTTTATAATTTTCAAATGCAGTAGACAGCCAGAAAGACTGTGTGTGTATATTTGTATACACTCAAATTAGCTAGAGAATAAGCTGTGGACTCTGACTTGAATTTTGCCTATGTTACCATATTTGCTACATAGGAGCTCCAGTTACCATTAGCCAATGTGTTGTATTTATGCAGTTTGCTATACCAAAGTGAACTTCCTTCCTTCCTTCCTTCCTTCCTTCCTTCCTTCCCTCCCAACCTCTCCCTCCCTTCCCCTTGCCCTTTCCCTTCCCTTCCCTTGGGCTTGAACTCGGAGCAGGGCTAGTGTTCTACAACTCAAGCTACACCTTCACTTCCCCAGTGAATTTCTTTATTGATTTGGTGCTGGGATTAGGCCCAGGGCTTTGTATAATCTAGGCATGTACTCTAATACTGAACTATATTCCCAGCTTGTTTTTTAAAGAACAATACAAATAGAATGCAAAAGCATGATGACATGTCCTGGACTATTACCACAGATAGGAAAGGAAGGTGTGGCCACTTCCCCCCAAGGCCACATAGAGCCAGGAGATAATGAGTGGAATTCATTCAAAGAATGGGATTCTTAAGAGGATGGGGAGTCTGTCTTTTGAAATTGAGTAGCCATATTATTTAATATGAACCTGAGTTCAGTGTCTCATCAAGTGGGTGGGATTTTTTGCAGGCTGAACTGAGCAGTCCACTGAATGAGGGAGATGGGCAGAGGGGCATAATCCCAGCCAATACCAAGCTCCACACTACTCTCTCAGTCAATTTAGAGAGCAAAACCCAAGCTGCACATGCAGAGCTGTGCATTTCCACTTCCAATGGTAAGACATGATTTACAACTGGTATTTGCAGGTTCTGAGTTGTCTAAGAGTAGTTCCTGAACTGCTGTTTCTCCTCTTCCCTGCAGACACAATCATCCGAGCGGTATTGATTTTTGCAGAGGGAATTTTTGTAGGTGAAAGCCATGTGGTCCATCCCAGCATCCATAACCTCTCCAGTTCTATCCGTGTCCCAATTATGCCTCCCAAAGATGTTCCTGTGGATCTGCACTTGAAAACCTTCGTGGGTTACAGAAGCAGGTGACCCTTTACAAGTCACAGTTCCTTGTCATAGAGCGTACAGAGGAGGACAAGATGGAGGGTGCCCATTATGCATGTGTTGTGTGAGGCCAGAGAACCATTCTGAGCTTCTTTCCAGCAGTCAAGGTTTTCCATGATCTTTGTTTAATTTGAAGTCTTTACAAAAAGAGGGGGAGGCATATAAACGTAAGAGGTCATTTTTCTGTCTTAAATGATTGGAGAGTTACACAAATCTTAAAATGCATTTAGTTAGGGGTCAGAATATAGCTCATAGGTAAAACAGATGTTTAGCATGTTCAAGGCCCTGGCAACTTTCCTTCCCTAGCAACTTTCACACAAGAAAAATTTAAATGATAATTTGTCAGCTTACAATGTTGGTCACGAAGACTACAAGGATTGGGACGCATTTCTGTATTAGCTGCTCTGATGAAGGGAGTTGAAGACTGCTTCTGTGGAAGATGAAAGCCTTTTCCAGTTAGGGTTAGGGTATCTTGAATCCTTGATGATTGTATACCTGTACATTTGCACGTACACACATTTTTCAAATTCCAAAATCTCATTGATGTAGTACTTTAGCACTTAAGTGTCTAGGTGATTTTTTTTTCTTCAGTGAAACCGTTAAATATTAATTGGTGGCAGCCCAGGAGTGGCTTTATTTTCTGGGCCTTGCATCTTGAAATAACACTATACTAAAGATGTCTCATGTTCCATTGGTTGGCTGTAGCACCCAGTTCCATGTATTTGAAATGACGAAACAGCTTCCCCGGTTTACCATGTATGCACTCACTAGTCCAGACTCTGCTAGTGAGCCCTCGAGCTACGTGAACTTTATCATTGCAGAACGAGTACAGAGGGTGAGTGGTTTGCTGTTTCCTTTCAGTACTTTTGCCCTTCAGAATCCTCTAGATGTTACTTTGGAGAAAGGGGAGAGAGAGTACACAAATGAATTATGAGAGTAGTAGTAAACATGATGTGAAAGACTTCCAGAGTGTGGAGTTTGCTTAATAACCTGTAAGCAGAATAATGCTGAAACATCTTCTCTCACTTTGAACAAATCCTCACATTATTTATCTACACAATATTTTTATTTCAGTACTAGGGGTTGGATCTGGGGTCTTATGCTTGCTAGCAAGGGTAAACCTCAGTACATCCCTGTACATCCTTAGTAACAAGTCCATTTTTATCACTTAATTTCTCTCTCTCTCTCTGTCTCTCTCTCTTTTTGCTGGTCATAGGGCCTGAGCTCAGGGCCTGGGTGCTGTCCCTCAGCTCTTCAGCTCAAGGATAGCACTCTACCACTTGAGCCATAGCACCACTTCCAGCTTTTTCTGCTATGTGATGCTGAGGAATTGAACCCAGGGCCTCATGCATGCAAGGCAAGTGCACTCTACCACTGAGTGCCACCTTCCCAGCCCTCTCTCTCTCTTATGTTATGGGCTTAGTGTGGTTGTCTTCACTTAATTGTTTCAAGAGGTATCTATATCAAGATAGAGAGAAACTGGGTAAAGTGGTATACACCTGTAGGACCAACTTCTTGAGAGGCTGAAGCTGAAGGATTGCTTGAGCCCAGGAATTTGGGGCCAGCCTAAGGTAAATAGCAAAGACCCTGCCTAAAAAAAGAAATGGGGCTGGGAAGGTGGCTCAGTCAGTGGTAGAGTGCTTGCCTTGCATGCATGAAGCCCTGGGTTCGATTCCTCAGCACCACATAAGCAGAAAAAGCCAGAAGTGGCACTGTGGCTCAAGTGGTAGAGTGCTA